AGTAAATACAAGATGCCGAACACCCTTAGCAAGATGCAGCGCACCCTTCATGAGACTTGCCGAATATCTCACGGTGGTTCGCGCTTGGTGATGTGAGAGCCTGGTCCGGTGGGAACCCGGCGTGCTCCGTCCCGGCTTTGTAGGGATGCGAGGTCAATGGTCTAGCGACTACGGCATGCACGACTATGAGTACACCCCCCCCCCATCCTTGCTGTGCTGAGGCATAAAAAGTGGGTTGAAGAGGCGGGAAGCGATACCGATAGGATAGATAGGCTAGGGAGAAAATGTTTGAGCCACCGTTGGTAAAGTTGGAAGGAACGATTGGCCATCGGTGATCGGTGCTGTGGAAAAAATGCTCCATCCTCTCAAGGACGCGTGGTCACTGGTCTAACCGCTAAGGTATGCGAAACACAAGGACGCCCCCCCCCCCCCCNCCCTCCAATCTTTGACGACCTAACAAACCACCACAGTTGGGAACAGGAGAGACCAGTGCATGCGAGCGGAATCCTGTGGCGATACGCTGGACCAAGCGGGAAACCCCGTTGAAGATATCGGCAGGCGCAGACCACAGCGTCACCATGGTGGACCTGCTACGCCCAAACCAACGCCGGGATATCGTCGCCTACGCCTGGGGAAACCCAGACCACGGTCGCCTGGGTTCTCAGCGGCAGCACACGCACGCCTCGCCCATGGAAGTCGAGGACCTTACCCATGCCCTACGGAAGTTGAAACGGACCATTGCTGGCGTGTCGGCCGGCGGAACTCACACTCTGGCTGTGCTGGGCTCCGGCGAGGTGGCCGCGTGGGGCGGGGGGATGTACGGCCAGCTAGGAGACGGCCACATGTGGGACAGGCCAGAGTCGGTCATGGTCACCGGGTTACAAGGGGTGCGGTCGGTCAGCGCCGGCGCGAGGCACTCCATGGCTCTCGCGGTAGACCTGGCGGGCACGCAGGTGTGGGGTTGGGGGTTCAACCGTTGGGGCGAGCTGGGGGGGGGGGGCGAGAGCGTCCGGCTTCAGCCCTACCGCGTCGGGGGGCTAGACGGGTGCACGGTGCAGCACGTGGTGGCCGGGGAGAGACACACGATTGCACTGACGAACGGAAAGGCGTTACGAGTGAAGGACTTGCGCGACTATCGAGGCTTCATCAACGCGTACAAGAAGGGCGGGCTGATGGTCTACGACGCTCTCAAGAAGACAATGGAAACACAGAAGCTCAACCCCGATTGGCTGGACACTCCGCTCGAGTTTTTCCCCGGTCAGCCGGGTATGACTTCAGCAGAGTGTCGGCTGGGCACCGCCGAGCCACATATGGACTGGTGCATGGACACGGCGCCGGCCGGAAAGGACGTGTTTGATAGCCTCAGAGGTGGGCACGAGATAGTCTACGTGTGCCGGCCTTGCCAGCGAGATCGTGTATGCCTCGCCTGTGCGAGAAAGTGCCACTCAAAGCACTGCATCGAACCCGCATTTCGTCTCAGAGACGCATCCAAGCCGTGCGATTGTAGCACCACCCCGGGCATGTGCGCCTGCAAGTGGAGCCCCATGAGAGAGCACTTTCGAGCGATGACCGCCTCAGGAGTGACGCCAGGAAACCCGGCGCTGGGTGATGACGGGCTTCTGCATCCCTCCGAGCTGAGGGAGTTGCTGCAAATTGTCCGCGGCGGCGCGGCGTTTGTGACGTCTGATGACGTGAACGAAGGGCTGGCGTTGTTGACCCAGGGCGGAGAAAAAGAACGGATAGGATACCTTCCGTTCGAGCGGTGGTATGAAGAACACTTTAGCAAGATTGATGCTGAGCTCGATGAGGGTGGTGGCACATGAAAGCGGCGTTGGATAATGGGAGGTGTTAGATATACTCGCAGCAGTATCTGGTCGTGAGGATTCCAGGGGATACGTGTTGGGAATTTCGTGTGTAGTAGGGTACCACCGGTGCAGTCACGGGGATCCTTTTGGCGTGGTTGGTGCGATGGAGCTTGCGTGCGTGCTGCGCACTTCTTCTTCTTCCCTCTCTCTCCACCACCACCACCGTCTCTCTCCACCACCACCACCGTCTCTCTCCAATCAAGTTTCCTTCTCCCACTCTCTCTCCAACTCCCTCTCAACCTCTCTCTCTCGGTCAAACACGGTCGACTACCCAGTGCCCCAAGTAACGTCCAGAACGTTCTTGCTGCACCCCGCGTAGTTTACCTTTCAGGAGGGATCTGCCTCCCGTACGCCCCTTTTGCGATCTCCGATCGGCAAGCACGGGAAATTGCTGCCGTCTGCAGCTCGTCAATAAACGGACTGGTGATTTTTCACCACACTGCACGAGCCCTGGACTCAACTGGGTAGAGTTCTCATCCGCGGGAGAATCATACTACACTCCTTGCGTTGATCGATTGTGCTTCTAAAGATCTAAAGACTCAATCAACGTCCTGAGGGTTGATTCGTTGTTTAGCGTTGCCCATGAAGTTCTGTTTGTGACTCTTTCTTTTTTGATAGTAAAGGCTTACCCATTAGACTACTCAGTCAGCGGCTGACTGAGTAGTCTAATGGGTAAGCCTTTTCTATCAAAAGATACACTCTCGGCTCGTAGAATCCCGGGCTGTGAGTAGAGATCTCCGGGGACGGATCCCTTGCCAGGCGCTGCCGAGAACAGAACTATGGTGCTTTTCGTAAAGTGATCAGTGATAAAGTGATCTACCAAAGGATACACACACAGGTTCGACGAAAAGCACCATAGTTCTGTTCTCGGCAGCGCCTGGCGAGGGGTCCGTCCCCGGAGATGTCTACTCACAGCCCGGGATTCTACGAGCCGAGAGTGTATCTTTTGATAGCAAAGGCTTACCCATGAGGCTACTCAGTCAGCGCTGACTGAGTAGTCTAGTCTGGGTAAGCCTTTACTATCATTTTTTGGGTTGTTAATGTTGTAGACTACTCCTCCGGGGCTCTCTACTGCATAAAGGGTGAATACA